GACGCGACGCGGCGGCGTCGATCCTGGTCGAGGTTTATCGGCCGGTGTTTCCCGATGCCAATGAAGCCGAGAATTTCCATGCTCTCGACGTCAATTCATCATGTTCGACGCGGCGTGCGTGTACAGCCATCGCCGGTGTACCTGCCCGGAGAGTAAAACTCGCTGCGAAGTGTACCAGTTTCCCTTTTATATCGGCGCTTCGCGCAAATGGCCGCGAGTTCGCCAAGTATCGCCCGGCTCTCTGCGCCGAGAGGAAAAACGCCGGCTCCCCCCAACACCACCTTGCCGACGAACGGAATAATACCAACTATTTCTCTATCGCAGCCGAGGAAACACGGGGCACGTGGCTGGTTTATAGACGCGCGATATTCCTCAGCGGTTTTACAGTGGTTCCCTTTAATAAAAGAAGATCCGTGGCTGAGGGGAGGGGGCGGCTGGAAAACGGGGTACGGTTGCGTCGGTGCTTCTGCAGCCTCGAGTCTTACTCTTCTATTCGAGTATCGATCTCTCCCTTATCCTCGAACGCGGATGTATTAACTGTAAACTTTCGTATTCTGTAAAATGTTTGAGCGCGAGAGAGATAAAAGCTGTGTTTGTGTGAGACAGATAGAAAATAGGAAGAGCGAGGGAGATAGAAAATAGAGAGAGCAAGAGAGAGAGAGAGAGAGAGAGAGAAAGTATAGAGAGCGAGAGAGAGAGAGAGAGAGAGAGAGAGAGAGAGTGACCCTGATTGTTGACACAATTCGTACGCCGGCGAGCAGGAAAATATTCGAGAAAACACGTCCGGAGTAGTGTGCTATAAGAAAATACCGCCGCCGTCTCGGGAAAAATACTTCTGATCCGTCGCGCTTTTGTTGCATCTGATGCAACGATTTTATGCTGGCTCGTTTGAAACGTTAATGTGCGCAACGAAAATTACGGTCTCGTCCTTTTGATTCTTCGAGCTGCTATGCTTATTCCTATAACTTCGTGGCAGCTGTTTACGTTAGATTACTATTCGTTATGATTCCGTCACGGTTACGGCGATGGAAAATCGTCCGCGAAGATTGAACGAACTCGAGGAACGGCGCGTTGCTCTTGCGAAACTGGATCGTTCCGTTTTTTTCTTTTGTCGTTGAACAACCAATTGGCAATGCCGCTTCAGGATTTACTCGTGCGTCGCGGCATCGTAGTTTCTGTGATTCGACGAACGAGTTGATCTCGATTGTGCTCGATGTGGTATTAGTAGATTTACGGTGGTGGTTTATTCTAAATAATTATAGACGTGTGCAGTGTCGACAAACAATTAGGTAACGAGGAACGGTTAAGAGAGATACTTGTATGTACAGTTTCTCACACTGTAAATTATCTGCTACTTTCTTCGGTTGCTACGATTAGTTTATACATTTTTTTAGGTATCACATACAGTCGGTAATTCGTTTGTGTTTCTTATCTAAATTTGGGATCGCCAACGTTTCGATAAACGTATTCCGGGTTTCCATCGTTTCTCATCATACCGTCATTTATGATAAAATATGAAATACGTGCTACATAATATTTTACGCTACAATTAAAAGTTATGGATAAGAAGAAAATAATAAGTCGATGATCATCAAATAGTTATCATAATGGTTATAATATCAAGTAGTTTTATCACAATAAACAACTAAAATCATTAAAACCATCTTCGCAATTTCAGTTGGTAACATTAATTTTGTAAATTCATTATCAAATTTCTTGCACTAAAACAAATAACGACATCGATTAATAATTGCACGAAGAACTTTATTGACTTCAAAGTAGTCGTATAGTATCTAACGTAAATAAAGTGACCTCATTTTACGCGTTGTTGTACAACACGTTAAATTCATTATCGATATTTTTTACAAAATTTTTGATCTCTTTTTAAAATTCGATCACGCAAGAATACAATGAAAATTGTCGATACAAACGATTGTATTGTTCATTGTCGCAAATGATATAATAAACGGGACAGATAATTTTTAGTGTGAGGTACCGTAAATACGTACAACGACCCCCATCGACGTTCAGACAACCCCTTCCAAAGATAATACTACAGTAAATTCTCCCCCATTGTCCTTCAGTTTGTAAACAAAAATGGACAATTTTGGACGAGGAGATACGATTATTCCAGCCTTGCACCTTGTTTTTATAGCTGTTGACAATCGGCGTGGCTCGAATAATCGTATCTCATCTTCCCAAAACAGTCCATTTTTGTTTACAAGCCGAGAGAATTTACCGTATTTTCAAAATTGAATTATTGAATTGAAAATTCTGTGAGAAATTTGAAGGATTAGTTTATAGCAGATATCGCGTAAAAGAAAGTTTATCTAAGCTCATAATAAAAATTTGAAATCGAAATTTGTAAATTTCATACGCGTATTAACGTAATAAATGAGAAAATTCGTACAGCACACGATTTTTTATCATGTATGTGTACAGGGTGCCAATTTTAAATATGTAAAAATTATCTGTTATGATATTAGGGGTGAAAAGATGACCGACTAGGTCACTTATATACAGGTATTTTTCGCGATTCAAGGTCCAGATAAGATGATTAGAAGAAATAGCTTTTAGAATTGTTAATTGTCCTTTTCACTTTCCAAAACCACCTTCAACCATTTGACTGAAACTTCTAAAAGTTGTTCTCTTTTCAAGATTATTCGAACGTAGATGGGAGTCACTGTACATACGCGATCCTTAAGCTACGAAAAATATTGCAACACGATTCTTCGCGGCGGAGCTCGCGTACGGAAACTCGTTAGACCCGACAGTTACAAAACTATACACGAATCGACACTCGATCCGGCTTGCGGCGTCAGCGAGTTGAAATGAATTAAAACTGCTCTTCGAAAGAAAGTCGCGTTTAAACTCAGCCGTGTTTTACGAGACTCCTATCAGGTCGCTCGTAAGAAAGGTACGCGTGACGGACGAGTGATTACGCGTTCTCGCGGCTCCGGCGAGTACCTAGAAACCCCTGGCTTGGTTTCGCTGAAGCGTCGTTGCAACGAAGCGGTAGGCGATGCTCTCCTCGACTATTTGGGGACGCGAGATGAGGGCAAAGAGAAGTTCGAAATCCGGCGCGCGTCTCTTGACTAGCTGCTACGCATCGAAATCGCGCGGGATCGATCCGCGCGGCTTCCTCGGCCTGGCTGGCGAACAATGGCCGAACGGATTCGGAGCGCCGCGCCGTGACACGCATCTTCGCCCGAAGCGGAGACAATCTTCTTACAAGCTGTCCAAAAACTATTGCAAGCCCTTTAAACAGGCGATTCCTGAGGCGATTTAAAGTTACTTTTCTGTTTGCGAACATTTTCTTCGGGGCTCTGTTAACGAGATCATTAAGGGAAAAACGAGGATCGAACAGAGAACGAGTACAACCTCTCGATAGTAAGCGCGACACCACATTGGCTGCGCCGAAGAGATCCAGTTGTACCCGTCCACTGATTGGTTCGCGTTCCTCCGTAATCTGTGAACCTGGAAATTAACATTCGTTCAACTCGTTTCACAACGGGGACTTTTTTCTTCGAGAAGTTATATTATCACTCTTAAAATGATAAAAAAAATCGCTTTTCACTCGATGGTTATTTATTCCGACGAAATATTTTATGATATATTTAGAAAATATATAAATCTAATATTTTCAATGTACAAAGAATTCGTAAAATACGTACAGTGGCCCACAAAAGTGTTCGAACATCTTTTAGAATGCAAATAACTTTCTCAAAACTGAACTAAATGACTTGAATTCTTTTTAGACGATACTCTAGTCCACTAAACGATGACTAGAAAGCTTTCTTTAATTTTGCTATTACTTGGAATGAAAAGAAAAGCTTGAAAACAGCAGATTTCTTACAATTTTTGGTCAAAATCGTGATAAAACTGCGATTTTTGCTATCTTCAATTTGTTGCAGCTCATAACAACGTGAATCGATTTCGATAAAATTTTCAACATGCATATAAGTTAACGAGATGTACGAAAGAGATTTTTATTTTTCTTGTCATTCCAAGTAATAGCAAAATTACAAAAGAAATCATTTCAGTCATCGTCTAGTAGTCCTTCTATCGTGTAAAAAAAATCTCGAGCCATTTAGTTCAGTTCTAAAATAGTTACTGCGTTTTAAAAGGTGTACGAACACTTTTGTGGGCCACTGTATATATCTTGTTATTTGTGACACCCTTTCTTTTGGAATAACCTGACACCATACTTTAGTATATATAAAAAACGTTGTAGCGGTATTTGAAACTAATCTGCACAAATTCGAAGTGTTATCATATGGTCGCGTTAGGTTCGAACGGGGAAGGATGACGTAAAGTTGACGTAAAATAAAATTTACTCGACGATAAAAGTCGTCATGCTTGTTGGAGTTGTCTTCGGATGACCGGAGGAATCGCCTCTTTCAAAGGCTTGCAAAATTTTCGCGACACCGTGAATATCAGGCCAGGATTTGGAGAGGGACGCGAGCTGAAGTGCGGAGGGCGTATCCCGATCCGAAGTGCCTGTGCGATACTGGGGTACGCTAAGTCTCTAGTCGAGTTCTTTCCAACGAGATCCAACGTGATCCGCGGTCCGACTCGGGACTATATGCAACGGGGAACAGTGATCTATGGAGGCTAGGGCGTGTACATATGTACTCGCGGAGGCGTCAGGCACGCGTGGGTCCGACTTCAAGGTCCGTTCCTCCCGGTCTGTCCTGAAACGAGCAGCCGTTCGTTCGTTACTTATCGGATGCGAAATCGCTTGAGCGTTGTGATACAGCATTCAAACGCGGCTAATTGCCTCTGTACCGGGAGCAGGTCGTACGCGTTCCGGACCGTAAACCTGTCCGCGCAGTGTTCATTAACGACGCCGAACGTTCAGACGCCGGCAAGTGTATTCGACGAACCGATTCTATCCCGCGTCCTGATCCTAACGAACACACCGATCGAGGACACGCGACAACGGGGTCCTCGCGACGAACAAACTGAATCGTGTACGCTAAAAAACACGTAATACTCGATGCCGATTTCTCAACAATATTATTATTATTGGTAGTTTTCACGCAGGCAGATCCGCTGACCCTTCTTAGTTATTAGTTACACCACTGCCCAGTTACACCCCTGCTCCGGCTTTTGACTAGTGCGCTGTTTATCGTGCGACGCCCATCAGCTCCCTTACTGCAACCTCAGGCGTGCCACGACTATCTCAGAAGCAGCTGCAGCATACACATCATCAGCATCGTCAAATAGGCGGCAGTGGAAGCTTCGCTTCCGTTTTCAGAGGTCACTGCAACATACACAGGTTACGTACATTATTACATTGTCCCTCCGGCTTCGGTTTGTCTTCGCGGCGTGTCCGCTGTCGTCAAGGCTAATCATCGGCGAGATTGAGAGCCGAATGGGTAGCCTGCTATGAATTTTGATCCAGGAGGACCGCTGACAACCAATGTTCGCTTTCCTGATAATTATGGCTTATCGATTGGGTTAGGCTACATCTCGGCGCGCGCGTTGATCAGCGTTTTTTTTTATTGACGACAGCAATCACGGTGGCTTGCTGCACGGAGTGTCATGTTTGCACCGTTATAGTTTCATGAAAGGGAGGCGTTCAACGTCAAACCTGGACACAGATGTGTTCAACTATCGACGTGTGTGTATCTATTTAAATTACTTGCTGTGAAATTCAAATAAATTTTACGAAATCACAAAGTTTTCTGGTCATTTCAGTTTCGAAATATGCTTGTTTTTTTGCTTGAAAATGTAGACATTTAAAAATATAATTTGGTTTGAAGGGGGAGAGTACAATGTTCTCTGAAACTTTTTTCTGATTCACTGTTCTGACCTCGTTATTGCTTAGTTCGTTACTGTTTTTAAAATCTGTTGAAATTGCGAACATGCATGTACTTAAATCGTATTTTATATAGCAAAAGCAATTTTTTAATGGGTTATGTCAACGAAAAAATGAGTCTCAGAATTATAAAACACACTGGTTAACAATAGTGAACTATAAAAGTTTTTAAGTCTGGATTAAACGACAAATCTCATAATATTCTAATTCAATTTTCAATTGTAAATAACCGAGTAGAGTGTACAAATAATACATTACGTACAGCAAACAAACAACTCAATAATCATGAATTATTATCAACGAAAACATGATTAAACCGACAGTAATATATTGCAGTAATATACATTATATAACTATATTAATTTAATAAATAACTTTAATAACCATAAAAGTCTCATCAGCCGCGTTTCATGAAATTGCTTAACTAGCATTCATTATTCTCATATTCATATTACGTATTTCACCACTAGATACCACTAGGTCGATTAAAAGGTACGTATCGATAACTAAATTCTCCCAAGTACATAAAATGAGAACGAATAAAATTGCATAATAAAATGATGCACCGCAAGCATCGTTAGGCGTCCTCTACGGTTCCCGACGCATTCGTGGAACGATCGACCTGCGGTTTATTCGTGTTAAAAGGATCCGCTTCGTGCAACTTTGAATCCGGAACGTCGGCTACACGGTAATACGACAACAACGTGGCCTATCGGGTAGATTTTGGATCTGATGAGATTATGGAGCGAGGGGATCGATACGCGAACCTATCGGTAATAATTGCTGAATTTTAATCCGAATTGAGGGACCGGCGTGGTATCGATCACGACCACAGAACGCACATGAAAACCACGTATATCCTGTATGCAGCCGACGTCGACAGACGCTGCAATTGATGCAGCGAATTCAGGCTTACGGTATCATCGGGCGGTATCGGCGTCTAGATCGGCCTGATGACGCGTCAAAGTTGCCACGACTGATCCTTTCTCGTAACTAGACTGTTAAAACCGAGCTCATCGGGCTGTTTCCGAATCTCTAACCGCGGATTCGGGAGATGTAACGGGGGATTCACTGAGCTAAACATCTTCTATGCCTTTGAATCAGCTTCTACCCGATACGTCAATGTCGGTATCTCGTGTGTTTCTCGACAGTTTTTTTCCACAGATTTTAGATATTGTCATTGGGGAACACTCGGTATCTCATTGCTCTACAGGGTGTCTCAAAATTATTGTACAAGCGGAAAGTGAGAGGTTCTTGAGGTCATTTGAACTAACTTTTTCCGTAGCGAAAATGCAATCCGCAGCGTCGTTTACGAGTTATTAACGAAAAACCCTGATTATTGAGAGGCGAGCTCGCCTAGTACTAGGCAGTCGAGCCAATCAGCGGAACTGGGCTTCGACCGCTCCTTGGCTCAGTCGCCTCGCGTCAACTGATCTCGCCTCTCATTGGCCACTGTTTTTCGTCAATAACTCGTAAACGAAACCGTGGATTGCATTTTCGCTAAGGAAAAGGTTTCTTCAAATGATCTCAGGAACTTCTCATTTCTCGCTTGGGTCACCCTGGAAGAAAAAGAAATTCAAACTTTGTCTACTTTCACTCGGTACCGTTGGTGAAATATCTATAAATGGGTGGGTTAGAATCATAGTGGTGTAGACCACTTTTTCAAAAATTTTGACTTATGTTATAATCTATGTATATGCCAAAATGTTAGAAAATCAAGTGAATTAGATTGTGAAGTTATTATGAATTAACTTAGTTCTATATTATCTTTGCAACAAATTTGGCCAGTAAACAGTACATATGTTACCAAACAATGATACCTTCTTGGTTCTCACAGTGAGGGAAATGTGGCTTACGCCACTATTACCTATTTAACGTGGGATTGGTAGAAATTTGGTAGATGCAAATGACGGATGTGCTTTAAAATTACACCGCATTATAGAGCAGTTTCGATTTTACTAAGCGCTGAGAGAAACGTAAAATATGCAACTGATGAATATGTTACATCAACGTTGCTATAACTTTTAAAGGATTAGAATATATGGCTATAATATTCACATTTAATCGTCACTTCGTAGGTGAATCAGTTAACAATATGAACATATGTACAGGGTGTAAAAAGAAAAGTTACGTCATATACAGGGTGTTCCACAATTACTTTAACAGTCGAATATGAGGGGTAGCTGAGGTCATTTGAAGTTACTTTTTCCGTTGCGAAAATGCAATCTGCGGCTTTGTTTACGAGTTATTAACGAAAAACACTGACCAATGAGAGGTGACGGCGCGAAGTTCGAGAGCCCATAGCACGAGACTTTGACAGATGGTCGGGACGGACTCGAGCCGCGTTCGAAGTATTGAAGAAATTACGAAGCGAGAACTATCCGGATTTTTTTTTACTACGTAACAGTGATATTTTTAAGAAAAACGCTGTCCACCTTTACTTTAGAACGTCTGAAGAATAATTACTAATTTTTCGGACCCGAAATAGTAAGTTTATTTCTTAAAAATATCACTGTTACGTAGTAAAAAAAAATCCGGAAAGTTCTCGCTTCGTGATTTGTTCAATACTTCGAACGCGGCTCGAGTCCGTCCCGACCATCTGTCAAAGTCTCGTGCTATGGGCTCTCGAACTTCGCGCCGTCACCTCTCATTGGTCAGTGTTTTTCGTTAATAACTCGTAAACAAAGCCGC